AATATGAGTAATACTATAGTGTAATGACTGTTTTTACATTAATATTAAGGTTGGGATAGAGGTAAACGTTAATAAAATACTATTAATGGGTAATTTAATAAATAATATGATTAATACTATAGTAAAATGACTGCTTTTACATTGCTATGAGGGTTAAGGTAGGGATAAATATTAATAAAATACAATTAAAAGGGTATTTTAATAAATAATACATGTAATACTATAGTTTAATGACTGTTTTTACATTAATGTGAGGGTTAGGGTAGGGGTTAACATTAATAAAATACTATTAATGGGTAATTTAATAAATAATATGAGTAATACTATAGTGTAACAAATGTTTTTACATTACTGTTAGTGTTGAGAGGTAAACGCTAATAAAATACAAATCATTGGGTTATTTTAATAAATAATATGAGTAATACTATAGTAAAATGACTGCTTTTACATTGCTATGAGGGTTAAGGTAGGGATAAATATTAATAAAATACAATTAAAAGGGTTTTTAAATAAATAATATGATTAATACTATAGTAAAATGACTGTTTTTACATTACTGTTAGTGTTGAGAGGTAAACGCTAATAAAATACAATTCATTAGGTAATTTAATAAATAATATGAGTAATACTATAGTAAAATGACTGCTTTTACATTGCTATGAGGGTTAAGGTAGGGATAAATATTAATAAAATACAATTAAAAGGGTTTTTAAATAAATAATATGATTAATACTATAGTAAAATGACTGTTTTTACATTACTGTTAGAGTTGAGATAGAGGTAAACGCTAATAAAATACAATTCATTAGGTAATTTAATAAATAATATGAGTAATACTATAGTAAAATGACTGCTTTTACATTGCTATGAGGGTTAAGGTAGGGATAAATATTAATAAAATACAGTTAAAAGGGTATTTTAATAAATAGTACATGTAATACTATAGTATAATGACTGTTTTCACATTAATGTGAGGGTTAGGGTAGGGGTTAACATTAATAAAATACTATTAATGGGTAATTTTTAATAAATAATATGAGTAATACTATGGTGTAATGACTGTTTTTACATTACTGTTAGTGTTGAGAGGTAAACGCTAATAAAATACAAATCATTGGGTTATTTTAATAAATAATATGAGTAATACTATAGTATAATGACTGCTTTTACATTGCTATGAGGGTTAAGGTAGGGATAAATATTAATAAAATACAATTGAAAGGGTATTTTAATGAATATGTGTAAAACTATAGTGTAATGACTGTTTTTACATTACTATTAGGGTTAGGGTAGGGATAAGCGCTAATAAAATACTATTAATGGGTTATTTTAATAAATAATATGAGTAATACTATAGTATAATGACTGCTTTTACATTGCTATGAGGGTTAGGGTAGGGATAAGCGTTAATAAAATACAATTCATTGTGTATTTTAATAAATAATATGATTAATACTACAGTATAATGACTGCTTTCACATTGCTATAAGGGGTTAGGGTAGGGATAAGCGCTAATAAAATACAATTCATTGGTTATTTTAATAAATAATATGAGTAATACTACAGTAAAATGACTGTTTTACATTACTGTGAGGGTTAAGGTAGGGGTAGCATCCCTTCTAACAACATCCAGAGTGTTTGGAGGGAGACAGGAGGATGAGTGTGTTTGTCTTCTTCTTCTCCTTCAGATGTATTTCTCTTCCTGTCTCTCCGAGCGTCTCTTCCTGCACTAACGGTTTTCTGCTGCTGGACTTCCTGTAAAACTCTTGCTTCCTGTCTGCAGTTTGTCGCTCTTCAATGTTCTTCTTCCCTCATGTAAAAGTGCTTTCTCTGTACTCCGACATTAATTACATTTACTCCACATTTTCCGCTCAGATCAGTGTCGTGTGCATGCACAAATTGACACAAGAAGTTTTTAATTTTCTACTTTATCTATAGTTACAGATTTAATAGTCTTACCGGATTGTTGTTAATTAGACACAGTTTAAGATATGTATATTTGTGCTTTAGAAATAGTATGTAACACAAATCTATTTTAGATTGTAACATGAACACTAAACAAAAATAGTTAATTTAATATATTTAATAATGCACTTATTTTTTTTGTTTACAACTTTGTCCAAAATAAAACAATTTAATGTGTTGTTTACAATAAAATTTAACAAAATGTAATATTAATTCAATATAAACATGTTTTATATATGTACGGTATAGTTGTCATAAAACCATCTAATATGTATCTTGAATTACGTTTAAACAAAATCAATTAAATACATTATATGCAAATTAAGCATCTAATTAACGTTTTCTGTCCTTTAGAAGCTACAAACCGAATATTCCTGCTTTAATTGATGTTTGGTGTGTTTTCAGCGGCTGGATTTCCGCCATATCAGTGATCGGCTCTAATAAAGCAGTGGGAGCCATTATGATGGTGGTTGCGGCTTTCTTTACAGCCGCTGCGGCGCTCTCTGTCGTTTTACTCAAAATGGTAAGCATCCCGTTACTGTGCAAAAAGTAATTCAAATATATACATATAATACTGTCAGATAAAACTATATTTATTGAACACAACTATGGTTAATCCAAAGTACTTTACAAAAGACTTTCAAAATTAAAGGGGAAAAAACAAGTATAAAATAAGAAGTTAATCAAAATAAAAACTTTGTGTAGAGCAGGATTTTAACACAACTGTAGTTGATTCAAAGTTTTACAATAAAAAAATAAAAACAAAAAATACATTTAAAACAGAAATAAAATGCAATTATAGGCTAGTATAATGTAACAAAGTACTGAAAACTCCCTAATTTTATGTATAGAGCACGTTTTTACTCCGCTTTAGTCAAACCATTTATAAATAATTAGCATGTCATTGTAATTTTTACATGCATTTCTTTCTATTTTAGAGCCCAATTTTTTAAATAGTTGATCCAAAGTGCTTCATAATAAAAAAAACATGTGAGAATAAAAAAATCAAACAAGCATATACAGCGCTCAGCATAAACGAGCACACAAATCTGTCTTGCTATACAAGGTTATATTCAATTAATCAATACGGAATCCAAATCTGACAATTTGTGGACCAAATTTGTGTCAGTGATTAAATGTTAAATAAAGACTTTTTTTTAAAAGAGGAAACATCAAGAGGAAACAAAACGAATATCAAATTTAGTTGACCTTTTTGCAATATTTTGCAAATATAAACATACAAAAATATGAGGCCTATATTCACTGAGAAATGGGGCATTTTGAACACATGATACTGTTTTGCTGCAGCCATTTAATTTTACTCATGTTTATTAGTTTTAGCCAACAGTGTTCCTCAAGGCTTTGTGTTAGGCCCCTTTTAATTCTCCAGCCATTTAATTTTACTCACTAGTTTCAATTAATAGTCATATTTATTAGTCTTTGTATTGGGCCCATTTTAATTCTCATGCCATTTAATTTACTCACACATTTGTTAGTTTCAGTTAATAGTTTTAACCAACGGTGTTCCTCAAGGCTTTGCATTGGGCCTGTTTTAATTCTGCAGTCATTTAATTTTATTCATACATTTATTAGTTTCATATTAATATTAATTTGTATTAGTTTCATCCAACAGTGTTGCTCAAGGCTTTGTATTCAGCCCATTATATTCTACAGCCATTTAATTTTACACAGACATTTATTACTTTCATTTAATAGTCGTGTTTATTAGTTTTATCCAGCGGTGTTCCTCAAGGCTTTGTATTAGACCCGTTTAATTTTACTCACACAATTATTAGTTTGATTTAATAGTCATATTTATTGGTTTTATCCAGCAGTGTTCCTCAGGGCTTTGTATTAGGCCTGTTTTAATTCTACTGCCATTTAAATGATACTAATTAACGTGTGAGTAAAATTAATAGTCATATTTATTAATTTGTCAATGGTGTTCCTCAAGGCTTTGTTAGGCCCTTTTTAATTCTACTCATATATTTATTTGGTTTATCCAGAGGTGTTCCTCAAGGCTTTGTATTAGGTCTGTTTAATTTTACTCACACATTTATTAATTTAATAGTCTATTAATTTCTTTTAGTAGTAATATTTATTAGTTTTTATCCATCAGTGTTCCTCATTTGTGTTAGGCCCATTTTAATTCTCCAGCCAGTTAATTTTACTTAGACATTTATTCATTTTATTCAACGGTGTTCCTCAAGGCTTTGTATTAGGCACGTTTACGTTTACTCATACATTTTATTAGTCTCATTTATTAGTCATATTTATTCGTTTTAGTCAGCGGTGTCCTTCAGGGTTTTGTATTATGCCCAGTTTAATTCTCCAGCCAGTTAATTTTACTCAACAGTGTTCCTCAGGGCTTTAAATTAGGCACATTTTAATTGTACAGCCATTTAATTTTACTCATACATTTATTAGTTTCATCCAGTGGTGTTCCTCAAGGCTTTGTATTAGACCTGTTTTAATTTTATTCATTCATTTATTAGTTTAAATTAATAGTCATGTTTGTATGTTTTGGTCAGCAGTGTTCCTCAAGGCTTTGTGTTAGGCCCATATTAATTCCCCAGCTGTTTAATTTTACTTAATAGTCATATTTAGTAGTTTTATTCAGCGGTGGTCCTCAAGGCTTGGTATTAGGCCCGCTTTAATTCTGCGGCCAGTTAATTTGACTCACACATTTTGGTTTTAGCCAACATTGTTCCTCAAGGCTTTGTATTAGGCCTGTTTTAATTCTACTGCCATTTATTTTTACTCGCACGTTTATTAGTATCATTTAATAGTCGTATTTATTCATTTGTCAATGGTGTTCCTCAAGGCTTTGTTAGGCCCGTTTTAATTTGACTCATACATTTATTAGTTTTATCCAGAGGTGTTCCTCAGGGCTTTGTAATAGGCCTGTTTTAATTCTACAGCCATTTATTAGTCACATTTAATTGACATTTATTATTTTTATCCAACAGTTTTCCTCAAGGCTGTGCATTAGGCCCATTTTTATTCTACATCTGTATTCATTTTACTCATATTTATTAGTTTTAGCCATCTGTGTTCCTCAAGGCTTTGTATTAGGCCCACTTTAACTCACTGCTGTGATTGTTTCCAGGTTCATTCGCACTATCGCCGCACCGGGGCCAGTTTCCAGAAGGCACAGCAGGAGTTTTCTCAGGGTGTCCTGACAAACCGCACTTTCCAGAGCGCAGCCACTAGTGCCGCCACCACGGCCGCCCAGAGCTCACTGCAGAGGAACTAGAACCACAAAAACAGCACCAGATCACACGTCTCCTTCCCAGAATCCTCTGCTCATTGGCCTGCTGCTCCAAAGCCCAGCTACGGCCCCAAAACTCCATCGGGTCCCAGTACGGACTGCAGAGGCACTACTTTCATGGTTATTTTTGGGTTTTTGAAGGCGAAGGTATGAAGCGTAAATGTTTGTATATTTGTGTGTGCGCAGGAGTAGTCATCCACATCAGTAGTGCTGTAAATATATATATATAAAGTAATTTAACGTTTCCCAGTCATGCAAAGTGGTACTTAAGTGTCCTTAAATTAAAATGATCATGAAGGAGCTCATCTGTTAAAGCCTTGATGAAGTTTAGATGTTATAACAAGAGTTCTAGATGTAAATAATGTTCTCTAGGGAATGTGCCATGTGCTTTCCTTGCTCATATTTGATTTGCTGAAAAGATTTTCCTATTTGTGCCAAACATAATGACATGCATCATGGGAAGCGGTAAACGTTTATTGTCTTAATAGTAAGACTGAAGGTTTGGGTTGGATTTTTTACATTGGGTTTAATTCATGCTGCATCGTCTGTTGATTGTGTACAAGCTTGTTTTTTTAGGTAGCTGATTATAAACGGTCCAATCAAATCAGTTTTACATGAACGTAAATTTAATTACTTTTTTTAAAGCCTTTTGAAACAAAGCGCTCCTGAAATGTGTTGATATAAAATACCACTTAGAGACGGCTACACAATGTTATCAGATTAGATTTGAAGATGTTTTTCATGGTATTTTTTGAACTAATTAAATTTTTCTGATTAACATTGTTTTGTCCGAGTGATTTATTAGATGAGCACGTTAACAAACCTTTTACAGCATACATCACATGATCAGATTGAAAAGCACAAGACTTTAGCTTCCACTAGATAATTAAAAATTTTACTAAATTAAAGCAAGTAGAATGAGAAAACAGCTTCAACTAAACTGTCACATTTACTCATTAAGATTAACGGCTAATTCATACGTGACGCACAATGCATATCTTGCGTGTAGTGGTTGATTTATAAAGCGAGGCTTTATGAAGCTCTGAAACAGTCGAAGCTTCAAAACGTATCGAAACCCGACACCTAGTGGTCATTTTATGTATTGCTCTGAAACAGCTTCAGCAACAACAAAAAACTGCTATTAAATCCTACGCTGTAGAGTCGAGGTTTCAAGTGATTTAGTGCACTGATGAGAGTTCCTGACTAGTCTGCGGAGATCATGGTTTTGACTCCAGGGTGAAGCAGTGATAAGTGTCAGTTTTTAAATGCTCTGTTCTTGTAACATGTTTTCTTGTAGCATGGATCTGACATCCCAATAAACACTTTGTGAATAACGGTCTTGTTTTAGTCATTAAAAAATTAACATTATTAAAATACATCAAGTCATAACGTATGAGTTATTGTATAAGTCGGGATTCGAACTCAGGCCATTTGCAGCACAGTTGCGCTGTGTTCACGGCCCACTAGACTACATGAGATTTCTCCAACCCTGTCAGTCAACCGCAGATTCGCCAGGTCTCAAAACTACCGATGCTTTGAATCTCTTTATTCGCGCATGACCTGGTGTTTCGAAACACTTTAGTCACGTAACCTGTGTTTCGAAACACTATAGTCACATGACCTGGGTGTTTCAGATCATGTTTTGGTATTGTTTCGAAACACGTGCTTTGGAATCTTAATACCGTGTCGAAACGTCAGCCATCCCCTACTTCTGCGTGCTGTTTCTCTGCAATAACATTTTCCAAACACTAGCTGGCAGTGTCATGTTATGTTCCTCTGTCGAGTTTCTTTACGGGTGATTGTTTTTTTTCTGAACGCGATCTTAATGTACAAGTAGCTAAATCTCGCTCATTCAGTGGCGGGAACCGGTGGACATGCAAGCGCTTAAATCATGCGGTAAACACAAAACAACAGTTTCCATCTGGAGCTCTTTCCAAGACTCGACAATTCTAAACACCCACTCCATCAGGCTCACCACCGCTCACACTCGTCACCGTTACCAAACCGACCAATCACAGAGCCTGTGCTTCGCATCGTTGCGATGTGTAGTTAGATCTTTTGAGAGGTGCGGGTCAGCATCAGCCACAGTGTGAGGTCTGCAAAGGTTGTGCCGGAAAATACTTGTGCACTTGACGCTGAAGTATGAATCAGTCATTACTTACCTTTTATCCATCAGTGATCCTCCAATGTCCACAAATCAGTGGAGTATAAAAACCCTGAAATCTGTGGAAATCTGTTACTGAATAAACAAAAATGCACATCCAATACTTAGCTTTTAGTCCTCAGTAGTAATTTTAACACTTGCTTTACTCATGGAGAATTTCATGCATAGCAATAAGAGCTCATATCATGTCATTTGAACACTTTTGGGGGGTTTGCCAGGTTTTAAAATCAGCTTTATGGCCTAATTTATATTAGGTGGTCTTCACTACATTGTACTTAAACTGACGTTAATCATTTGTTACAATATACTTAATGTGTGAACACACATTTTAACATAATACACGTGATTGATTAAACACCTGCATGTAATTAATTTTTGTAGATACATTTGGCCAAAGATCGGTATCGCCCAAAGATCAATATCGGCCACAGATCGGTATCGACCAGAGATCGGTATCGGCCAAAGATCAATATCGGCCACAGATCAATATCGGCCACAGATCAATATCGGCCACAGATCGGTATCGACCAGAAATCGGTATCGCCCAAAGATCGGTATCGCCCAAAGATTGGTATTGGCCAGAGATTATTATCGACCAAAGATCGGTATCGGCCAGAGATCGGTATTGACCAGAGATCGGTATCGGCCACAGATCTGTATCACCCAAAGATCGGTATCAGCCAGAGATCGATATCGGCCAAAGATCGGTATCGGCCAGAGATGGTATCAACCAGAGATCGATATCGGCCAAAGATCGGTATCGGCCAGAGATCGGTATCACCCAGGGATTAGTGTTGATCAAAGATCGGTATCGGCCGATAATCACATTTTATGACTCGACTGGTACTTGCTAATCTGGCCAATCTCGTGAACCAATCATAAGTGTTTAAGTTTATGTGTTTACAAGCAGAGGAAAACACTCAAGCACACCCATATAATATACATCAGAAGCTACATCATGTCAGGGGGGTAAATTATGTGTGGGGGCGTGAGGGAAACTGCTTTACGCAATGGCAAAGTTATAGAAAGCATCTGAACTGGCCGATCACTATGACAAGGAATCAATACTCCGTATTGGCTGCAAAAATCCTGATCGGAGCACCCCTACTGTTGACCATCCCTAACACTTACCTTAAACGTACACATACCTCCAAACCTGTTCATAACCCATACCTGCATCCCACCTCAAAAGTGTGTTCAGCAATACATTATGAACACAGTGCACTTGCATCAGAAAATAAATACAAAGTACTCGCAATGTAGTTTAAGTGGCCTTAACTACTATGAAGCATCAACGCCAGCAACACTAGAATAATAACTAAACATACTGGATTTGCATTTTCCTTCTTTCTGAAAACTGAAAAGAATGAAAGCAACACACTCTCGTTTATCTCATTAACATAAAACCACAGCTGAATGTCTTTGAAACCAGCCGTTTACTTGTGACATCATCGTTACATAAAATAGGTTCATATTTCACATGGCATCAGCGATTCATTTCAAATCCAAAATATAAAAAGTGCAAATGACGGTAGACGTTACGCCGGCCACACAACATGGCTCGTGTCTTCTTATTTTCTTCTTCTTTTTTCAAATCTTCCCCCATTATTGTAAACACAAACAACAACTGTATTCATAAGCAGACCTGGTTACAGCCACATGGACATTCATGACGTGGGAAACTGTACACGAGCAAGGCAAGAGTTCGCTGATGTTTTCTTCCGCTCATTCTTTGGGAGAAGGGATCGGCTAAACAGCACGGCCAAAAACACAACGCAGAATATCGAACCGTTCATAACTTACATGGAAAATGTTTACAAAGCGATGCGTCGTCTTCATATATAAAAAAAACCAACCCGAACATGAAGGATATAAAAAAATCGTCCTTTTGGAGAGTGTACAAAGTATTCATGTAAGCAAACGTTTGCAGTTCGTCGTTTATATTCATCTATATTTATATATATATATATATTGATTTACCTCTCACAAGTAGAAAAATCCGAGAGTCACTTGGCATTGAACTCCTTCATGATGAAGCTCGAGGGCCCAAAAACAGGCGTCAGGGTCCTGAGGAAGAGGAGCGAATATGAGGAACCGCTTCATTCACTCGCTGTTCTCACGCTTGAGGAGTTTCTGAAGCACCAAACATCGGCCTTCAGAGCAGAGCGAGAACTTCATGTGGAAATGCATATTCAGGTTTGTTGTTGTTTTTAATGCTACCGGCGTCCACACAGAACACTGAGATCTCCCTTTTCTGTCCACATTTGATGATGGGAAAACGTCGACACGATGTAAGACACCGAAATAAAGCCATGAAACATTCATGAGAATTCATGAGCAAGCAGACATGATTGTGTGTGTGTTGTCTGATGACTGTTTTCAAGCAAATCTATGGAGAACGCAACTAATAAACTGCTAAATTAACTAAATTAATGCTGTTTTCGAGCCTTTAAGAGTGGGTTCATCAATGAAATCACTGCAGGTAATCGCAAACCCTCTGTTTTCACCATCGGAGTGCCACAGGGCTTTGTATTAGGACCAATTCTATCAAGATTGTGCAGATTTTTCTAATAATAATATTATTAAACAATCAAAATTATGTATAAATGCTTAAAATTATATCTAATAATCATTAGGTTAAATAATATGCAAAATAAATCAGTTTAGAGGCATCGATTTGCATAAAAACAGCCAAACTGAAATGTACACACAATGATTCTGCTCGCATTTCATGAAAAGCCCAACGTTTTGAGCGTCTGAGTTTTAATCTTACAAAAATACAAAATAAAAGTCTTAAAAATGAGCATTTACACAATGAAAACCTACACAGAGGCTAAAAAAATGTAGAATACATAAATACAATCCTCTAAACAACTCAACGGATCCGAGGAGTTGAGAAAAATGGCATTGAGCTGGACTTCCCTCCATGCAGGATGATGGGGTTTTCATTCACAAGTCCTGTGGTTGTTCCTGAGGACGCGGTGAGAAAAGCCTTTCATCAGCCGGTGGTGATGGCGTTCAGATCCTTCATCAAACCCTCCAGATGGGCCATTTCTTCAGACAGCTCGTCCGTCTCAAACGTCTGGGAGAAAGAGCCACAGGAGCCACAGCAGCCGTGTTAGAGTTAGGATTGAGGGATGCGAGACAACGGAGGAACATAAACGGACGGAGGAGAGTGAGAGGAAGGGAAACGGGTTTGGAGAGAGAGAGAGAGAGATGGAAGAGAGACGCTACAGAGCAACCTATGACAGAACAAACAGCAGGCATGCATTACAGAAGCACAACGCAAATCAAAAGAAGGAGCAAAGGATCATTGGATTTTGGAGTGATGCATCATTAGACATTAGGGAGCATTACAAATGTAGCCAGCCAGGAGGTTAAAAGAGAAGAAATGGGGACAAAAAACAACAAATTAAATACTCAAACTTTCAGAAATAACAGGCCGTCCAGATCACACCACTTTAAAAATTATGATCGTAAAACAAATTTTATATATATATATATATATATATATATATATATATATATATATATATATATATATATATGAGCAATATTACATGAGTAACAGTGAGATACAGCTGTATATTGCCACTGGTGGTTGGCGTGCGTTGACTTGAGGCCGTAGGCCGACTGCCTTAGTGCACCAGCAGTGCCGATATACAGCCACAATGCACTGCTACTCGTGTGATTTGCATTTATACATCAGTTTGACAGCATAATCGTGTATTTAAAAAAATAATCAAACACATAGTCTCAAAAACCTTTCTGTTTGACGAACTACTTGTCAGAGTGTGTGTGTGAAGAGGCTGTACGAGTGCTGATATTGCAGAATATCATATCGGCCAATCATTAGATTCGAGATCCAGACTGAACTGTTGTAAAAATATGTATACACTCATACATAGTCAAGCCCAGAAATATTCATACAGCAGGAGTATGAATAATTCTGTACTTGACTTTGTAATAGTGTCTGCTTTTATTGACACATAAAAAAAATCTAATATTAAGATTCACACTGACAATAATAAAAATGTTTACGTGGGTCTGTTCATTACATTAAAACGCTAATTAATCAATAAAGAACTTCTACAACTTGACAATTTATGACCATTTTATATATAATTATACCAGTACATTGTTGTTTACTTGTCACGAATTTGTGAAGTTGTACAAATTCTTACTGGAGCTTAAAACATGCTTCATTTTGTTAACGCAATATTTATTTTTAGATTTTTGGACTTTTATTTTGATTTATTGAAAAAAGTAAAACATGCATAAAACTAGAATATACACAACAAGATAAACAATATAGGGGGAAAATATTTACAAAAGAATAAATAAATGAATATTTGAATAAATAAATGAGCAAATGAATGAATAAATAAATGAGCAAATAAATGAATATTTGAATAAATAAATAAGCAAATACATGACCAAATGAAAAAATAAATGAATGAGAAATGGAATAAATAAATGAGCAATATAAATAATATAAAAAATGAATAATAAATGAATGAATAAAAAAACAAATGAAAAAATGAATGAATAACTGAATGAATAAATGTAAAACGTGTGTCCGGCGCTCACCATGTCGAGCATCTTGCTGGTTTCTGATTGGTCAGGAGCACTGGGGACGGTGACCGCCATTGGGGCTCGAGCTCTGCTGAGTGTGCCGATGGAGGCGGTTTTCCCTGCAGCCCCTGAAACACACACAACAGCAGACCAGTCTGAACATCAGCAGTGTGTGTGTGTGTGTGTGTGTGTGTGTGTGTGTGTGTGTGTGTGTGTGTGTGTGTGTGTGTGTGTGTGTGTGTGCGCTTGTTTTTATATCCCAGTGGCGATTTAAACCTGAATGCACACAGACTCATGGGGGCCAAAATCGGGGCCCTGATGGGTAAACATGCTAATAAATCAGACAGAATGATGTATTTGAAAATGTAAATATGCAGATTGTTTGCCGTGTGTGCTGGGTTTAGGGGCTGGGGGACACAATATACGCTTTATACACTCCCTGATAAAAGTCTTGTCTTGATCTCAGTTGTAAGAGCTCTAATAATAACTCCACTTCTGGTCGATCATCTGGAAAAATGGCAGAAG